TGGCACGCTAGGAAATATCTTGATGTATTTTCCTTGGGCAATCGTATCTTCCCTCTCTTTTAGGCTTCTTCATTAGACCATTTTACAAGATGATGCTGGGGAAACCAATAACTCTGAAAGACATGGAGTCAGTGGTAAGATAACATTTGCACCCTATCAGCACTAGCAATTACATGTTCTTTCCTCTGGGGACACTTAAAAGAGCTAAGCATTCCCATGAGTGGAAAACACAAGGTCACAGTTGCTGCAAGTTCAGAAAGATACATACGTACTTTTGAAATAAAACAAATCTTGCCTGCTAGGAAAGCTGTTTACTACCAGTGGTGAGAGGGATGAGGGAGAAGAGATGGGAATAGGCCTGTAAGAAACAACATCATTATACTTCCAGCTCTGCTGTCTCCCTGCTCCCAGGAGCACCACCACCAAGCCCTGCAGGAGCAGGAAGGGGGTGCAAGGGCCCAGGCAGCAGAGGGGGTTCCCTGCAATGCTGGGAGGAGAAGGGGCTGCCAAAGCAGAACCAGTTCTCTCTGAAATAAACTCAATGAAAGCAGCACAGCTTCTGCCCTTGCCTCTGTCTGGGTTTTGTTCCCTGCACTTCCTCTCAAACCTTCAGCATTCACTGCAGTCATTGTTTCACAAGTTAGGAACCTCTAACTTTGTCCTGCAAATTGAAGGACAGCGTGTCAGTGGGATCCTGCAGATGCCCAATCTGGACACAGACATTCCAGAGGTGTGTGGTGGCACAGTGCAAAGGGTTCCACTGGCTCAGCAGGGTGACACTTGGCTTTGTCGTTGCAACCTTCTGAGGTCAGGTTTTCAGTGACTGAAGTGCTGGGTCAACTGCTCCATGACTCCTCCAGCTCCCACCATCTCACAGTCACCAGACTTGGGCTGATCATTCTTCTCTTGAAGGACACCTGAGTAGGCTTCATACTTTTTTAACTGTATCTCAAAAGTGGGGTTTTTTTGCTCTCTTGCTTGGAAGTATTTAATGACAGCTACAGATACTTTTTTTTCTTCCTTTTTTCTTGGGTCAGTCTTTAGGTGTGAACCTCAAACACGAGGACACGGCCCTTTCAGGAGATCAGAGGAGCCTTTTATTCAACAAACTTCCAGGCTTTAATAATAACAATGCACTCAGTTACTGTGTAATGCATTTTTGGTGCAATTGGTATATGGATTGTGTTGAAAATAAGACATTTCCTAACCAGTTCTTTCACACTGTTAGGTACATATGGTAGCTAATAGATATGTAGAGACAATTTATTGTGTTGTATAATAATGTAATTATAAGTCAATTAAGAAAAGTTACATGAACCTAAAAATACAGCAGCTGAGAAAAATACAAACAAAGTAATGAATTTTACCCTGCTTTACAGCAGCTGTGAAATAAGTGAGTTTTCATCTTTCCAGTCCCTTTGGAGGTTTAAGTTTTAGATGTTTAAATTTGGACAAATTAAAATCTTAACTATACATTTAAGGTTTGCATTTTCAAACTTTTAACTATCATCTGCTGTAGGACAGTGAATACTACAACTCTTTGAAGTGGATCCTGGAAAACGATCCTACAGAGCTGGATCTCATGTTTTGCATAGATGAGGAAAACTTTGGACAGGTATGTCAAGTTTATCCCAAAAGTCCTTATGTCCATCTTATTGTTGGTTATTGCCAGGCACTACTTGCTGGGGTTCCTTGTGAACTGCAGTGAATTTATTTTTTTCAGTCTTGTACCCCATGGTGACACCATCTTTAGCAAATTTGTGCTTAACCATTTCTGTAACCTTTTTTTGGTTTTCTGCTTTACTTTTTTGGCCTTTGACTGAAACAGTTTATCTGTGGATTTTAAGTTGTCTTTTATTTTCCCAAGCATTTTGAAAAAATCAGAAGGCATTTTTTTACCTTTATGAAAACAGAATATGTTTTCTTTACCCAGAGGAACCTGCTGTTCAGGACTGAAAGTTTGCTGTGGAGTGGTTTGCTCCCTTGCTAATGAATATGATCAAGAGTTCAGTTGTATAAATGACCACATAATGATTTGTTCCTAGTGATGCCATTTAAAGTGGGGAACGCTTTAATGTCTCATTAGCTTTTACAGCATAATAAGTTTCTAATGCTACTTGTAAAATGTTGCTCAAGGATTTGGAGAGAAATGTGTCCTGGAATCATAAAGACTGTTGTGTTTTGTTTTGTTCTCTTTTGAAATCCAGACATACCAAGTGGACCTGAAGCCAAACGGGTCGGAAATCATGGTGACCAACGAGAACAAGAGGGAGTACATCGAGTGCGTAGGGGACACAGCAGCTGTGCCTGCCTGCAGCTGCTGTGCCTTCAGCAGCACTGGGTCGCCACTGATCCTTTCACACGAAAATAGGATTGTTAGCATTGTTTGTACCCTAATCCTTAGAAAGTTTTAATTTTAACCTGTATTTTGCAGCTGCACACTGCACTGGCTCTAGAGAAAGGGATGGATGGGGATGTCTGTGTCATTGCTCTCATTTGGAAATGATTCCTGCAAATTCACATCTTTCAAATATTTTTCTCTAGAATTCCACTATGATAGAACTATTCTAGTTGTTATACTCAAAAAAAACCAAAAACAACCCCAAAAAAGGGGGGCTAAAGCCCCAGTTAACTGGGGGTGACCAATGTGATTTTATCTCTGCCTCAGTGTCTTAGCACAAGCAGATGCTGCATTCTCCTGCCTATGTCCTGCTCATGTGGGGAATGAAGAATCACTGTCTAATAGAAAGTGTGGTGGTTTGTTTGCATCACTTCATTGTGCAACACTTACTGCAGGAAAGAAGGAAAACAGATAAGCTGGCTGAAGGGTTGCTGCTTAAAAATGAAGGTTATTTCTTAAAGCATTATGAGACAACAACACCAATGTTGCTATTCAAAACTGTCCGTATCTTAAATTGTGTTTAATGTTAAGCTTCCTCAGTTTTTCTGCCTACTGAAATGTCAGATGATAAGTTCAGCTTTACTTGCTGGCATTTTTAATTAGTGCCTCTTCAAAGGTGAGAAAACATTGTAATTGCAATATTCATGCAAATTAGGAAAGAAATGTGTCAGTAGGAAAGGAAGGGGATTTCTAAAGCATTGTTATAGCACCTGTAAGGTGGGGATGCTGTAGGTGGTGAGCATTGTCATACAAACTCTTTCATTTGGTGCTGCAGTTTTCATTCATCTACTATTTACTTAAGGCAGGTCATTATATGGAATTACGGCTGTCCTCATGTTTTGTAACTTGTTAGGAATTGTTAATTACTCAGAGCACTGGAAGAATAACATGTCTAGTCATTTAGGTACCTAATCCTACCAGCAAAGGCCAGAGTCTGGATTACAGCCTGGTTTAGAAGGAGGTAAATCTTAGTGCAGCCTTGTGGGCTGTTTCAATCTGGCAATCCTTGAGTTCCTCTCCATAGGAACAAGAGGATTCTGCCAGATCACTAAGAGGGTTATGTTAAAGAGTTCCTGGTGAGGTAGGGAAGTCACAGATAGAAGAAGGAGGTGTGTGTAGAAGTTGTCTTGGGTGCTACCATGAAAATACTCCAACTCTAACTTGTCCAGAGGCATTGCTCTTATTTTCAATAACTCAAATCAGTCCCACAGATGAATTTCAGCAATGAATACAAAGCTGCTCTGTTTCCTTAACCCCAGGGGGTGGCTGGGAGATGGCTGAAGCTGTAAATGAGAACACACAGGGTTGCTAGGATCTCTCAAAGCTTCATTTGCAGTCTTCTAATGAGCGTGCTGTTGTGTTTCTGTCTCTCTTCTACAGCCTGGTCATCCAGTGGAGGTTTGTAAACAGAGTTCAGAAACAAATGAATGCTTTTTTGGAGGTAAGGTTCTTCAGCTACTTCTTTTTTTCCCCAAAAAATCATTATTTTTTTCAATGCAGACTTGTTACTCATCAGTATCTGTGTTAGGGGAGTGGGAAGCTTGGTGCAGCCACACAAGTTCTGGAATGCTTGGGGTTATCATTTCAGTTTTACCTTATATAAGAATACACAATCTTTCCTTTAAGAGAATAAGGTCATTCTCTCACAAGCTTAAAGTATTTGAGCTTGAAATAATTTAGTGATTGTTGTTTTTAATTAGGGACTTGTAATTTCAGCAACTCTATTTCGTTTTCAAAACCCTCCTCCATCCTCTGTAGTTCACTTAGGTTCCCTGAAGCCAAAGATCCTGTTGGATAAAAGCTTAATTTTTATGTGGTGTGAGAATTTTAACTTGCTTTGCTTTCTTTTTAGGGATTCACAGAACTTCTTCCCATTGATCTGATCAAAATTTTTGATGAAAATGAACTAGAGGTGAGTTTGTTTAATTAACATCCAGAGGCAACAGATCAGTGATGCTCATCACAGGGAGATGTGTTACATTCCAGGCTCATCATTTATCACTTAGTCATCATAATTAAATCTGCGGACAAAGATGTTTTGGCTATGATAGGAAATCAGCTTTTTCTCCCTAGTTAAATCTGTTGTTCACATGAAAGCACAAAAAATTGTAATTATTCAGTGAGGTGGTTGAGTATGTGCATTTAAAAGCATAGCTTACTGAATGCATAGAATAGCTTGGGTTGGAAGAGACCATAAGATCATCTAGAATTAATGCCATGATGTCTGTACCTGTCACGTTGTGAGCAAAATGCCCCACGAGCTGCTGCCACACAGCATGCACATACCCTGGTGAGCAGTTTCTCCAGTAGAACTAACTGTTCTTTGAGAGTCCTTCTGAAGAGAGGATCAAACTCTCCTTCACGTTTGCATTGACACCTGCACAGCTGAGTCTTCACACAGTCAGACAGCAGCAGGAAAGTCCCCTAGTTTCTCTGATGAAGTGTGTGGATAAGACACCAGCAGCTTCCAGTAACACCATCACCCTTTGCTTCCCTGTGCAGTTACTGATGTGTGGCCTTGGCGACGTTGATGTGAATGACTGGAGACAACATACAATCTACAAAAATGGTTACTGCCCAAATCATCCCGTTATCCAGTGGTTCTGGAAGGTAATACTGTTTTACCTCATTTGGCTTCTCTGAATATTCCTAAAAGTCAAAGTTCCTGTATTGTTCCGTGGAGTCTGTTATGAATGTTTTTCTCCATGAAAACTGGAAGAACATGTATGTCTGTGTACACTGGAGATGACAGCTGTTACAGACTGTACCAGGAACCAAAATATGTGGTGGGATCCTTGGTTTTATCTAAAGTATCTTGCAGTATTTGTGAAGTAAAATGCTTTCATGAAAAGCCTATATGCCCAGGAAAACCACCAAAATACTTTTTCCTGTAATAGCTGTAGATTTTGCAAAGGGGTGTCTGTTTTTCTTGAGAATATAAGAATCTTCCAGCTTCATGTATGGGCTTCAGGCTTCATCTCAGGTTTGGTGTCTCATGCTGATGGCCATGGGGGGGTGTCCATGCAGACCATGCACCTGTGGCAGCCAGAAGGCCTGGCCCTGAGCCCTGGCTGCAGTGCAGCTCTGAGCTGATGTCCTGGGAAGCTCTGCAGGCTCCCTGGCTGGTCTGTCATCTCTTTCTCTCCACCCCGTCGTGCGCACGGCAGCCCTGGTGTCCCCGCCGTTCACCCAGAGAAGTGCTGGGCTGCGCCCGTGTCTTCCAGCTTCATGTATGGGCTTCAGGCTTCATCTCAGGTTTGGTGTCTCATGCTGATGGCCATGGGGGGGTGTCCATGCAGACCATGCACCTGTGGCAGCCAGAAGGCCTGGCCCTGAGCCCTGGCTGCAGTGCAGCTCTGAGCTGATGTCCTGGGAAGCTCTGCAGGCTCCCTGGCTGGTCTGTCATCTCTTTCTCTCCACCCCGTCGTGCGCACGGCAGCCCTGGTGTCCCCGCCGTTCACCCAGAGAAGTGCTGGGCTGCGCCCGTGTGGCAGCGCAGCCCCTGACGCCCCCCTGTGCCCGCAGGCCGTGCTGCTGATGGACGCGGAGAAGCGCATCCGGCTGCTGCAGTTCGTGACCGGGACGTCGCGGGTGCCCATGAACGGGTTTGCGGAACTGTACGGTGAGCAGGGCGGGCACCAGCCCCTGACACACCCAGCATTGCCCTCCTGGGAGCACAGTGAGGAGGGAGGGTCTGTACAGCGGGGGTTAGGCAGCAGACACGCTCGCAGTGCCCACTGGAAAAAGCTGTCACCAGGAATAACATCCTTGTCACAGGAAGAGGAGAATGCACGTGTAACCAAGCACTTTTCCATCCGTCACTGTCTGAGCTTACTTCTTTTGCATTGCACACACTCTACACAAAGCTACTTAGATAATAAGCTAACTGGGCTGGGAAGTAAGTGTAACCACCTTCCTCTTGCTTTCATGTAGTTTTCATTAAGAGTGTTCATACCAGGTATTCTGTACCTGTTGAAAAAGCCAGCCTACAATTTATACAAACATTTAATGTTATAAATAACATTTAGGTAGCCTCTGTAGTGTCCAGCAGTTGATATTTCATACTATTTTCACTTCCAACCAGGTTCAAATGGGCCTCAGCTGTTTACAATAGAGCAATGGGGAAGTCCTGATAAACTGCCCAGAGCTCACACGTGGTAAGTCATAAAAACAAAATTATACAGCTATTCTGCACTGTTCCACTGCCAAGAAGAGGGGAAGCTGATGACTGTGCTTATCTCTAACGTAAGGATCATACAACTTGTTATGAAATGGCATACTCTGAAACTTACACTCGCTTACCTGCATGTGCTAGTCATTGCCTTCTTCTGCTTGTCTGAGAGATTTATCACCTTTTCCTCCTTCCTTTCTGGAAAACTCAGAAATGGAAGGATATCCATGATTTGGAAAAGCAGGACTGCTGTTTGTGCTATTAGGGGTTGATGCTTTTTTTTCTTAATGCTGATTCTAGTTCAGCTGTCACTGGACCACACTGCAGGCATCAGTTTCCCTTCCTCATTTTCCATTATTTTTCCTATCCTAGCCAGTGAGAATCATGCACTACAGAAAGTCTGACATAACAAAACATAGCCACAGAAACCCATACTACAGGGGTCATAAAATGTTGGACAGTTCATTAAAATGTGAGGTGAGGAGCTCACAAGCCTAAGTACAGAATTTGCGAGTGTTTAAAGCGTTCAATACAAACCTTTGTCTTGCTCTGTTGCATATCAGGATTATGGCTTTAAGATAAATTGTGCTGTATAGGAAAACTCACTATTAGAACATAATGCATATTAGAACATGTGGCAAGATTGCCATAAAAATCATCATGCTATAAAATAAAAAGTTTTATTTTAAGAAAACCCCACCAAACAGCAGTACCACCAAAACACATTCCAGAACCAACACATCCTCTTCACATTTCAGTTGTCCATTAGATTTTACAGGACATTTTCAATACTTCCTTTTGGATGTTTATTCTTCTTTGTTTCCCCCATCCTAGAAATTCAGAAGGAGCCTTAGAAAACCAGCCTTTTGACAGAGAGGAAGTATTTTCAATCAACTACATACAGTTTGCAGGAGGGGTGTCTTCTGTTGGCTGTTTTCCTTTCCAAAGTTTTTTCCAAACCCCAACTTTCAGCTTTGGGAAGGGGGCACAGCTCTGGCTGACTCGGCCGTGGGCAGGGCTGGTCTCGGAGCTGCCTGCAGGGAACAGCAGCGTTAGTGAGTCTGGCAAAGGACAAGAAGATACATTCTCTGTTAAGGCCCCAAATTATTTAATCTTCTCCGTTTCTTTTAAAGTACATGTTATTTCCCAAGGGATTATTAAACCATTCTTTTCCTTCTGCATTTCAGCTTTAATCGCCTAGACTTACCTCTGTATGAATCCTTTGAAGATCTGCGGGAGAAGCTCCTCATGGCAGTAGAAAACGCTCAGGGCTTTGAAGGGGTGGATTAAGGCCCTTCCCCCGCCGGTCCC